CAAGTAAACATGAGCATGAAGGAACCATTTTCATCACACAGAGGAAAGGAAACCCACATTTTGAAATTGGTAAAGGGCTAGTTAAATTTGTGCGTCAATGACAAAATGGGGTAAACAGAACAGAACCCACGGGTGAACCAAGCTGGTTTGACAAAGTCAAGAAGTGAGTGATTGTCACAAATACCACCATTGAAGAGACCTTGGTGATTTGCAGAAGGTATCAGAGAGAAGAGACCTTGGTCAGAAGAAATAAAAATCCACCATAAACTATGGGGGGTGAAGTTTGAAGATAGAAAAATAGCTACACTACCAAAGATAGGGAATCATATCCACCTAGGGACTAACCCTTGCCCTCTCAAAACCCAACACAACAATATTTTTTTTTACACAAACCCATCTCACCCTCCTTCCCTTCCCCTTTAATCAATCAAACACTTTAACAAAATTGCCTCCAACACGCAACCTCTTCTCAGCAACAACAGGCAATGTCATCTTTTCCATCCACTCACTATTCTGCTTCCGTTTTCACCTCCCCCATCTTCTCTCTCTTCATTCTTCACCACCATCATCATTTCTTGGTCATAAAAGTCATTACCCTTTTCATCTTTTGCGGGGAAGATTATCCGCAAACATCCCAATGAAGCAAATTAACAGAAATCCATTTTTAAATGCTGGCAATGTATACATTTTCTGGTTATAGACTTGGATATTTGGAATTAAGTATCATTATCAGAAATTAACCCTCAGTCTGTCACCCAAATTTGAAATCATGACACAAGATTTTGGAGAAATATCCAGCACAAATTACGCTTTGGGGAGAGGTAAATTGGCGGCAGGATAGTACCTCACAAAGTGACGTTTTTTATTATCTGAAAATATGTCACAACATGACCACTACTTAATCAAACAGATGAGATGATCACTGAGCAAATGTCATACACGGGGTCAAATCTATTGCCATGCCAATGCCATCATCTCTGCTCATACAAACAGAACCACTTTCCTCCGATCGTGTTTGTGCACCACTCGATCAAAAATCAAATTATAAAGTATGGTTCACTTTTTTCAAACAGAGAGGGCACTGTTTCAACAAAATATATGCATTAAAGACCCTGAATTGCATTTTTTTTTAATAGGTCATGATTAAACAATTGAATTGGGTTTTTTTTAACGTTGAAAACTTTGAAGTCTTCAATTGCTTTTGCTTCTGATTTCAAATGAGGTCTTTAAAGAATGGACACTTCAAGACTCAATGTCTTTACTCTGTTTCTCATTGAGTCTTTCTCTCTCCTAGAAAAAGTTGTATATAAATGCATGGCCTCCCTCACCATTTT